TACAAACTATTAAAGTTACGTTGATAAACAAATTGTAATATACATTAACTAAATGTAACGTTTTAATAAACATGTATAGACAAGCCGTAATGTGAAACGCTTTACCGTTTCGTTAACTTTGCAGTTGTGGGTAGCAAACTGACGATCAAATCTACTAGAAAAATATATGCTTAGCAATGCTAAAGACTACCAAGTTATTCTTTATTTTGTACTTATTGATACACAATGATATAGTACATCATATATATACGATTGTATTATAAAAACACGTAATACTTTGATCGTATACATTTGTTTTAAACGGAAAATCTGAAACTCGCATGGCTTGAAATAGGACTATACTTCGGAAATTAATAGGCACTTTCCCCCTGTACTTGATACAATCATTTAAAATTAAAATAATATAATATTTCATTATCACATGTTTGTTGTTTTTCTTATAATGCTAATTTGAAATAAGAAAGGACAAACTTTATTTCTTTTCTTTGCGTTAGCTTTGATACAAGTTTAGTATTTGTATTGAGAATATCTATGTCACCGGCAATGTGTAACAACCAGCATTCTGTAACATACTTAGGCAATGTATACAATGCCTGAAAAGTGTCGTAAAAATTATAAAATATAATTTTTCTACCATATTTTATACACTTTTTTAGTCATTCTGCAGAATAACAACTAGCAAAGTAAATAACGCTGACATTTCGCACCTGCTTGTAAACGTCGGCAATTTAATACTTTTCCTAGAAATGAATAACTTCTATAGAAATCCGGGGTATTCATACATTACCGTTACTGAAAATGGAATAGTTACATTTTGAAACCAACAACATTAATTACAAGATTTAAAGAGCAAACCTATTACAGCCTTTTTGTTTGAAACGATATTACCATTAAATTAGGCTTAAACGTATTTGAATTTACATAGAAAACAGTAAGCGGAGGAAATACTTACCGAAAATTGCAATGTTATAATTGAAAATAGTCTTCCATCTAATTACATTTTCAGCGATACATGTAAATCCTAACAATAGAAGAAATTTGACTTCAAAACACTTGATAAGTAAAGTAATATTGTTCAGAATATGGCGTGTTGGGAGATTGGGAATGTCTCTAACTATCTTTTCTTATTACTTTTTTCATATTTATATTTATACACGTTAAATATAGGCCTATATATTTTAATGTTATACATATTTGGAAATAATAATTTATAAAATAGTTATTGATCAAAATGCAACACTACACGTTGAGATATTAGAGACAAAACAAAGAAATAACTAAATATCTAAAAATATCTTTTTTTTTTAAAAGGAATGTGTATGAGTTTGACCGATAAAATTGTGTAATATTATAGCGTATGTCTTGATAACTAGTTCTATAGATCTAGATCAAAACTGAATGAAATAGTTCCTTTATTTATATTCTAAAATCGGAAGATTTACATATTAAAAAAATTGAAAAAAAAATCAATTTGAGTTTTTGTGTCTGGAACCCGTGCCACGCGCGTGGTATCAATTACATTATCATCTCAACTATATGGGCAACTTATATTTGATGAAGAATAAAAAACGTAGTTAAGTAATTTAACTTGCGCGAATAAGCCTATTCTTTCAAAAAGTGTATCCCAAATTATCCAATTCCATAGCTAAACAAAACAAGATTTCTATAAAATAATTAAGGCCTAAATAGTTTAATATAGAAATTTATTATTGGAATAGATTCTAGAGTAGATAGAGTAAATCTAGAAACTCATCTAGATCTTAGTTCCATCGTCTGGGCTTTGCGTAGATCTAGATCTAGATCTAGTCTAGATCTAGAGTCTCTAGATCAGTGTTTCTTCCAGGCATCTTTTCGGAAAAAAATCTACCGCCCCACCCCCCCCCCCGAACGAAATGAAATTTATATAGAAAATATATACTTTTAACAGTGGCCCCCCTCCTCGCGAAAAAAGTCTACCGCCACCCCCCCCCCCCCCAAAAAAAAATGTCAAGTGACCCCCCCTCCCCCGCCCGGAGAAAAAAGTCTGGAAGAAACACTGCTCTAGGTCTAGATCTATAATCCAAATTTTATAAGTTTAGGCCGAGAAAATTGTATTGTATAGAACTAGAATTCATACCGTACGTAGAACTAAATCAAAGTTGAATGTAATAGTTCCTCTCTTTATATTCTAAAATCGGAAGATGACGTCATTGGTTTTGAGCTCTTTTCTTAGTGTAAACATTACTGACGTTATTAAAAATCGCGTTCTTGTCACAACTATAAACATTTTTCCGGTTGCATAATTAAAACATTTAAAACATCTGCCATATTATTTACAACAACAGTCCGTATTGAGTTTTCCAAATATCCCTGAAGATATTGATCTGATACCCTGTGAAAATATTTTGTGGAAAGAGAGAGAGAGAGACGGAGAGAAGTGCGCATATGGATTACTATTTAAAAAAATAACTCATTAACTTGCTTTTCAAGGCAAAAAAAAACGGAAATTTTTTCCATTGTCTGGTCTTAAGCCCAAAGCGATAAGCAAAGTGATTTTTTTAGTTTGGGCTAGCAATCAGCAGAGTAAAACAACACACAGGTATAGGGCTTAGACTTAAATGTCTGTTTGGATTCTTCAAGAAGAAGTCCACAAGGAAACCCCCACTCCTACACAATCCATAGTGTTTACTAAATATAAGACAAGTATTGGAGCTTGATGCACAATGCATTAAGCTGTGCAAAATCTAAGCTGACAAAATAAATATCAAGACATACGATCAACATTCTATGCATCAGTGGAATGAGATAGACAGACTCAGGCCTGGCAGTATTTATATCGGGATCAAACGATTAACTCCATTCACGATAAGTATTATTATTGATAGGGGATCGAAAAGAGTCTTCTTTTAGTGGGACCTGTGAATTCTCGAATCATCATTGCAAAGTCTTTCCCTAAAAACATCAAGACTACCATAACACTGTGCTATACACTGCTACGGCAACAGATGAGAATAAAGTCAGGTTTATCATAAACTACAGAACCAGATCAACAAGACACTTCGACACAACCTATTATTTGTTATGAAGGGCATCAGTGCCAAACTTGGATCTAATAACCAAAGATAATAATTATTTATGAGTAGAGTAGTGCTGGAAGAGTCAAACAGCAATTGTCAACGATTCAAAGACCTCTGCTCAGAAAATGACCTGGTAATATGAAGTAGGACTTTCAATCATAGATTCGTTAAGCTGCTTGGACGTCTCATAACAAAAGAAACAACAACAAGTTTATCCTCTAGCCATTTTCAGAAAGTGGAGATCTACAAGAGATGCAAAAGCAAGAAGATGTGCTAAAATAATAGGAAATGAATTGGCACTACCAGCTGTTCGATTCAGATAAATTGTAAGGGCCACATTAACACTAGCTAATGAGATTCTGTATATTGGAAAACGGTATCAAAAGAGATTAAAAACACAATTTGAGATCCTAGATGTTTTCACAAAAATAAACAATCCTGTACTGAAAGAAACAATGAGAAGAATGGGTATCGAATGGAATCTCAATTTTAGGTAAAATGAAAAAAAAAGCGAAGCTGACAGCAGTAATATAGTCGTAGGAAATAGAGCAAAAGACGACGAAGAGTTAAATCTTAACAATGAGGTTAAAAGAAGAGCGGAGCAAAAAAAAAAAGACAAGTCATTGTAGATCAAATGGCCACAGAAGCACACTTGGCAGCAGATAAAGAAGATATTAGAACAGTACAACTAGATGAATACCACACCAATCTACAGATGTCTAAGAGTAAAAGTGGAAAACGTAAACACCAGAACAAAAATCAAATAAAGACATGTGGAGAAAAACACCCTTAAGAGATATTGAACAGGCAGACCAAGAAAAAAATGCTTTCTTTAAAAAGACAAAAGTACACATTCCTAAGAAAGAAATTATATAATCTATTACAAAGACTAAAAACAAACAAAGTTCATGGAGTAGATAGAATCACGGATGAAAGTAAAAACGCTGATAATGTCGTGTGCACAAAAACACTTTAAAAAACTTTTCAACAAAATGCGGTAGCAGGGGAAAAATACCTATACGATGAAAATGGTATCATTGTTAAACTATCTCAGAAAATCACTTTACTGTGTCGACAGCTAATGTATTAATAATCTCCTGTAAAAAGTATGGAAATGAATAAATCGAACAAACTGCCTTCAGGGCCAATAGAACATTCATCGACAAAATATTTATTTTTCGAAGCATAGAAAACAGTCCTTGTAATGGAAATCATCTCTGTATATTAATTATAAAGATTTTGAGTAAACAACCACCATCTATCACTATTTAACACCCTTGAGCAATATAGCTTTCCAAGAACATTGACCAACATAATTAAGGATACATTATGAAATGAGATAACCAATGTTTTGTCCGCCATAAAAATCATCTAAAGAAATTGTCCAAGGTTTTAACTGGACCCGGCAAGACTAAGCGATCGTTAAAGATTAAGTTATGAGAGGAACAATTAAACAAAAATCAAGAGAAATGCATGGGAAATAACCAGTAACCTGGAAGACTGCGATTTTGCTGATAACTTGGCTATGTTGTTTCCTCCAAAAACACTTGAAAGAAAAAACTACAGGATTTGAGAGAATAATTAAAAGTGTTTTTTTTTCTAAAGATAAACTGGTAAAACAAAGCCAAGTACAACAAAGAAATGCACAATACCTTTTAGGCTTCGAAAAATAAAGTAACACGGCTTTCAACAAACTCACAAAATATGGAAATCCTCATTACTGCTACAAAGATCATAGAAGAAGATTTACAAACAAAATATATGTCCTGTCTTCTCTTTGCTGCAGAAACGTGGAAATTTGATCAGGAAGACAGGAAGGCGCTTAAAGGTTGTAAGAGACGATACCTTAAACGCAAACTGAAAATTAAGTCTGAGGATCGAATACCAGATATAGAAATATGAAAAAGATCCAATTATGAGCGATAGTTTGGTAATGTTTTTTACTTAGAAATGGATTCCAAACATGGAACTGAGTTCAAATTCACCTGGAAAGTGAAAGAGAAGACGGCAATTGGGAAACTTAAATAGTAAGATGGAAGACAAAGTGCTCACGATAGGCGAACATCTGTTTAAAATCAGTTGGCTTACTCACTACAGGGTAGGGGGCATGGTGAAATGCTACTGCCTTATGCTCCAGAAAGAGCCAAATTGTTTCGTGATTATCGATCAATAAACCGATATTATTTCAAGCATTAATACATTGTTTGTCGTAGTAATGAATTAAAATGTTCTCAGCTATAAAACTAAATTCTATAATTAATTGTAATTTTAAACTTATGATTAGATGTAGTTAGTAAAGTACTTTAGTATCATAATATTTTTTATTAAATGTCAAGAATTATTTTTACATATTTTGCATCTAACCGAATAAATTGGTTTATTGAAAATTAATAGCTCAAGAATAATTTGATAAGGATTGTATCAGCATACATAAAAAATGATAATACACCTGTTTCTTCTTTTTTCGCTGTTGCTATCAGAACAGCAGATATGTTATTATTGCTTCGATTAGCCCCTTGTTTTTTCCAATAGACAACTGTGTGAACATCACTTTTATCGTCACGTTGGCAAATGCAATTAAACTCCTTACCGTCTTCAACAGCATTTGGACAGTTGTACAAACTAATAAACGGATGTTCTATGGGAGAAAAAAAATCTTCATCATTCTCAAAATAATATAATACTTTTTTAAACATTTTAATCGGACGGTTTCATTATATCTATTATTTACCGATGGTTATGTTGAAAAGAAACGTTTTTCCGCCGTTTGTAGGTTTGCAGTTTTTACCGTCATCGTTAAAAATATCAGGATACATTGTCACATTAACTTCCCAAACCCCAGATTCCAAGTCGGCTGGGGCAATGTCTAGAGCACACACCGTGTCGAAATAAACTGGATCCGTTTTAACAACAGTGCGATTATACTCTGGTGTCAACTGAATATCCCAGGACGCCTGTGGAGTTTTAAAAATTTTGTCAAACTATAATTAGATAACACATTTTTTAAATTTAATTACTTTTTTACAATATTATGCATGGTCATTTATAAATAAATTATCTTTTCTAGAACATTTATTTCAAGGGAGCTAAAACACATAAGCCAAAAGATTTCATGTTTTTTTCAGGCCCTTGACAAATAAAGTTATGCGATATCTTTAAACATTCACCAGGACGAGTCAGGTACCCATCAGAGCTGGGTGGACTTCAAATAAAATCCTGAGCCTGGTATCCAAACATAAAACTTTCAGGGTAACAGCTGTTCATTCTACCAACAGCCATAACCTTCCAATATGAGCGAAATAAAATAAAAACATTTGAACTCACCCGATTCACCTTTACACTAAAGTTACAGCAACTTTTCGGATAAACGTTCGCACTGGTACATTCTATGTGTAGACCTTTTTTCGATATCTTATGGTGACACATTGCTTGATCAATTTTTTCTATGAAATGTATGTTTTTTTTAAATTAGGTGAATTCTCGGATGGTTTATGTAACTGGTAAAGACGAAAAGTATTCTTGCTAATTTGATGAACAAGGTGTATAATATACGTACTAACAATACCGTTTTATTACGAATTATAGGACTAAGTCTTTTGGCTGCTAAACAATTATACTATTACTCTCATCCTACCCCGATTGCGCCATTTAACTCCAATTGAGACCAGCTTCTAGTTTCAAACTCTTGCCATGGCAACAACTTAATTAAATGTTTTTAAACATATTTTTAATTAATTGCTATTTTTTTATTATTTGCCAGCTAAGTGGCTCTCCTAGTCTTCCTCTAGTAAATGAAAATGAATTAATAATATTTCCTAATATTCTCAAATGAGAAATATCATTTTAACCTTAGCTAATATTTTTAAAATTTAAAACTGGTTTATTTTCATATTATTAGCCAGCAAAAATGTGCAAAGCGAATTTGGACACTTACGCTGATTATGAAATGAAACTTCATCGAAAGAAGAAACAATTGATATAATTAATGAGTTTTTATTCTTGATTTAAAAATCTGGCAAGACTATCATTTTAAAAAATATATTTTGTTAGACAGTATATAAACAAAAAAAAACAACTAATGTGTCATTAAAGTTATAGCCGAAAAAGAAAACGCATTTTGCATTTTAATAGACAACTGTTATGTTTACACATTAAAAGGGGCGATTATATTTCTAATTGGAAGCACTTCCTGCATACAGCAAAATTTTAGCCATAGTTGTTTGTTTTCATAATTAAATGTGTGTTTTCAAGTTGGAATGTGTCATTCAGTTTTATTTTGGATTATAAATAAAATTAGCTATGTAGAGTAAATCCAAACAAAATATTATTTTTTTCTTCATAAGTACGCATTTTAAAATTCTAAACATAATTCAGATTTTCTGATTTTATTTTAGAAAACTATACAAGCCTGTAAACATTGATCAATGCTAAGAGGTTGAATTTATATTGAGGCACTCATTCTTTACCTATATTTATTTTTCATTTTTAATATTTTAAATTTAAAGTTCATTTGTTTATTTAGAATTTGGAAATATTCTTTTTCAAATTGATTTAATAATTTAATATATACTTTAATTTTAAATTTTAAAAACTTACTATAGTAATGTACATCGCACGTATACACAACTGTTGAAGAATAAACCAGTTCCCATTTTTTGGCTGTTAGCAATTGGTTGTTTCTATCTGCTGTAAACTGAATATTTGTTGTCATAAAATCTGATTGTTTTTCAATTTTCGAAAATACGACACCTTTGAAATCTGGATAAAGTTCACACTCATTGCCATTGCGTGTGTGACATACAACAGCATCTATTCCACCAATACTCCAAATTAGCTGATATAATCCGATGCCTGTATATTGGAATGCATATGCTATTTCACAACGTGTATTTTCTTCACACGGCACACACACCTGGCCTGCAAAGTAATAACTAAAAGATATAAGAATACATTTTTAAATTTTAAACTAGTAAAATAACATTATTTAATATTAAGCATGCATGCCTGCTTACCTGCTCCAAACATAAATAAAGTACATGCAACAGTAAGCAAAGAATTCGTCATACTTCCACATTATCCAGAAAGTGTTTATATTTTTGAAAGTGTTATCTGATCTGATCAAAATAAATAGAATGACAGTTACTAAATTTAACAATTAAAAAATGAATTGAATAAACTGCAATTATATTGCATAAATAATCATCCAGTGGAGTAGCTAGGTCGGGTGACACCGGGTGCGCCACTTAATGGTGTCACATCCCAGAGGCGCCCGGGTAGAAACTTACAATTTTCGATTTGCACCCACCTCCTGAAACTTTCGATTTGCACCCCCCCCCCCCTCCACCCTTGTCTGGATTTAGCAAATTTGCTCTCAACAGACTTTTTTCACAATCGAATTAATCACTTCATTAAGTGGAATTATCATATTTCTCTATATATTTTGCTATTTTTTCCATTGGTATCACCCCCCTAAATTGTGTCACCCGGTGCGGTCCGCACCCCCCCCCCCTAGCTACGCCACTGTAATCGTCATTGGCTTTAATTGTACAAAATTAGAAACAAAGAACTGAAGTAAAAGTATTCGAAAGTTTTGTTTATTTTACTACTTAATAGTTATTGTTTCGTGTAAAAAAAATGATAAACATTATATTACTACATAACCTGAACATTGTAACTAGCATAATGTAGCTTCATTTTAAAACAACTCAATAAACAAATACTTATTTTGTCTATATTTATTTTGAAAGAATGCTAAAAATTACATTTATGTAACCTATAATGTTTATGTACTTTACCTAATTAAGTGACATTGACTAAGTGAATATTACCGAACAGATGTATGTAGTTTGATCTATAATAACAATGAGTATTGCTGAGTTTCAAACGGTATACAATATTACTTCATTATCAATAAACTTTACTACAATATTATTTAAATTAAGGGACCTAGGTCTTGAGAGGACAAGTAGGTTTACCAAAGCTGAGTAAACCAATCTAAAAAGGCGAAAATATACAAAGAAATACAACCAATGAACAATACGCACGCCGACCACAATCGACTGTGTTTTAATGTGAGTGCTTGGGACAGGGTCAATGCTGCAAGTTGACGAACAATTTAGAACGACCGTACAATAGAGAGTACAGAACGACGTTGCCGTGTTTCCATATTTTATTATGTAAAATACGTACTGCTAAATTGACGACAGACATGACGACGACTTCTTCAACCTCACGAGACGAAAACAAGACTCAGACTCACTTTAACTATTTTTATTAACAACCAGCACACACTCTCGTACATCACTTTTTTATTTACTTTGTCGGGCATTCAGAATCATGTATCAATCCCACTACACCAGGGGTCGGCAACCTGCGGCTTGCAAGCCGCATGCGGCTCTTTTGCTGTCAAGATGCGGCTCTTTGGCTCAATGCACAAATATTAATAATTATTTTATTTTATTTTCAAAACTCATAAAAATATTGTTCTGCAACACTCGTTATTGAATTATATAATCATAAACATAAACACTCGCTTTTGTATTAGAATATTTAGGTACTCCCTATTTTCAATGTACTTCCTATCAAACTGTTCATCCCGAATTGAAACATTCAACTTCATGATGTATATTAAAAAGAAAATAAACCAGCTAAATGTACAACTGCAAGGAAAGGAAAACTCAGCCTATGCCGTGCTTAAGAAGTGGATGTCTCGAAAGGAAATTACTTTTTTTTTGTTCAAGACACGGAGAGCGGTAAATTACTTGATTTCGAAAAATCTGGAAAAAAATATCTAGAAACTAATGCAACTATTAGCATGAATCGCTTCAGCATTACAACAAACAAAACGAAGGATCAATTCACTGAGAGATTTGAGCAATTCAAAACAAATGCAAGTACTCTGACGTTCATAGTAGACCCTCTCAACACAAAAACAAATTAGATTAACATTGAGCTATTTGGAAATGAAGCTGGTGCTCTTTAAATGCAATTACTGGATTTGAAAACTGCTCTTTTGTGGAGCGGACAATTCGCAGAACTCAAGAGCAAGTGAAAATAGTTGAAGGTCCAGTAAAACATGCACGTTATGCTGCATAACTGGACAGCTGTAGAAGAAATATCGCGAGTTCAGGCACTCATACGTGACGCATGGAATAGATGTGCAGGATGGTACAGTAACGTGGAGAAGTTGACATCTGGAGTGCAGACGATTTTTAGGTCAACATATTCGTGCTAGCAAGAGTTCTCTTACATGAATATAATAAAAAGTTAAGTAAGAAGCCAACTAACAACTAAAAATCTAGAGGCGTGCTTGAAACCTCCTAAAACAAAAAGTTATGAGCCAGATTTAAAAAAACTTTCAAACGGCATGCAACGTCAATGCTCCCATTGATGAAACTAATGTAAATATTCAATGGTTATAGTTATATTTTATGATTACTAATTTTATTATTCTAGCAGAGCTAGCTAAAATACTATAATATGTTTTGTGCGAAACATGTGTATTTTTTAAAAATATGAATAAATATTATTTCATATTTAAAGCTATTTATCCTAAATATTGAGAAAAAAAATGTTAGTGGCTCTTTAAAAACTGGTAAATTATGTTAATTGCATCTTTTGGCTCTTCCGTCACATAAGGTTGCCGACCCCTGCACTACACACCTACTCTCAAACCATCAACATCTTTATTAAACACATTCAACTATACACATACTCTCAAACTCATTCAATACACTAAAGTCCATTCACAACAGTTTTATTGAATTTCTCCAACAAAAAATGTCACAAGAGTTGTAGCTATATACAGTCGTTAAAAAAAAATCCCGTTAAAAACATTTAACACCAACCCTCGTTTGAAATATGCCCTATATCCTCATTTTCATGCCCTTTATACACATCTGACGAAAGAAAAAAGAATGTGTGGCGGGAAAAAATTCCCAACAGCTTGTAATAATGTCACATGTATACCGAAAAAAAACAACATTCAGCACCTCTCACCCACACAAAAATGAAGGGTGAACTGTAAATGCTCAAACTAAATTTTAAAAAAAAAACACGCTCTTATAAACAAACAACTCACTTTAATTAAAATGTGATAAAAGGAAACATATATATCATTATTAGTTGTTTATGTCTTTTAGGCAAATAGATAAGGTGTGTTAACTGGCCCTTAAATTTCTAATTACAATTTTTTTTTTCATTCAATCACTAATTTTCTTTTACACGTACTAAGTAGGCCTATTTATTACATATTTACAATATATAGCACATTGATTTAAAAAGTTACAAATGCTCTTATGAATCAACATTGTATTGTAGCCTGATTATTTCACTCAGTCAAAGAATATGCCAATTATAAAACAAAGTTAAAAGTTTCTTTCATCTTATAGTTGACATGATTTAAATATATGTAATATATTGTATGTAAATACATTTTAAAACTGAAGTGTTTACTTCCTTTCAGAAAGTCTTTCAAACTTTATTTTTAAAGACAAATCGTTTCAATGTTTCATTTCTGGTGACGGAAATAAAATATGTATAGACAGTGTTTTTATGAAATTGATTTTATATTCAATATCTTTTTAATTTTGAGGCATACTTTTGGTAAGTTAAATATCATTTACTACTATAAGCAGTGACTGCTATCATATTGGATTTTTTTCGACTAAAGATTATTATCTAAATAAAATAATTTGTGATTTGTATGAGTATTTATATGTGTTTAAATTTCAAAACTCGTAACACTTGTGATACGACAGTAGAAGTCATCTAGTTTACTTTAAAACTTTATTATACTATACCCTTTGATAACTATGGGTTTCCGAGGGTCATCCATAAATGACGTCAACTTTGTTAGACGATTTTTATCTTCTCCCACATTTAGAAAGACCTCCCACGACAGACAAGCTGTCGTTTAAGCACAGATTTCGACTGAGCATGGGTCTGACCACAATATCCCTTCATATGCTAAGGTCGCAATGCAACTTTATCATTCACATCTAAAAAGAAAGCACACCTCAGCTTACATATTTCTGTCTTTTAAAAACATCAATTTCGTTTATAATATTTTTACTGGGCTCGAACTTAATATATAAATTAATTAATAAAGATAACGTCAGTAGTATATCAGGTCCCTTCTGGGTATCATGGCGCTGGCGCAGACCGGCGGGACAACGAGATATAGTAAAATACTCACCCACCCACCTGGGTGAGGGTGGGTGAAGAGGGTGGCGCAGGGTGGCGCAGGCCGGCGGGACAATGAGATATAGTTAAATACTCACCCACCCACCTGGGTGAGGGTGGGTGAGGCGGGTGGGTGGGGGTGGGTGAGGCGGAGGTACAATGAGTGGTGGTGGGGGAGAGGGGGAGTGGTGGTGGAGGAGAGGCGGAGTAATGGTGGGGGTGGAGGAGAGGGGGAATGGTGGTGGAGAGGGCTGGTGGTGGTGGAGAGGGGAAGTAATGGTGGGGGTGGAGGAGAGGGGGAGTAATGGTGGGGGGGGGGGGTGGAGGAGAGGGGTTCGCTAATGTAGACAAAAATAGAAAATTCTTTCTGTATAACACCCATTAGCGACAGCTGTTACTTATCGACCCGCCCGTGAAGCTTCCCGGCGCTGCCCGTTTTTGACAGGTACCGCCCGGTGATGAATGGGTTTTCTCGGTCGCTTTGACAGCTCAGTTTGATTAATGGCTGGTTCACTGAAGCGACCACACCAGGGGGTCTGGCGTTTAATGGGAATGCATTAACCAACATGCGACAGCTGGTCCCCCAATTAGGGTGGCTCCAGGGTTTTTTTTTCATTACCATGTTTTTAAGTTTTCTGGTACGCGTATGCTACACGTATACACACACACACACACACACACACTAAAATTAGAACAAAACTCTTCTTATATTTTATTTGTTTATTAACGTTTTTCCAAGGCATCAAAGGCTTTTAAAATATCATCCTATAAACTTAACCGGTGACCTTGTGACGAAATTTTAATGAGATTTTAATTAGTTGAATTTAATTTTTAAATTTTTATTAATTTTTATTAACTAGTTACGTAATTTGCTTATTTGTTTGATTTTTAATTTTTTTTTAAATTTTTTTTTAATTTTAATTTTTAATTTTAATTAATTATTATTATCTAGTTACGTAATTTGATTTTAATTTTTTAAATTTTTAAATTTTTTAAGTTATTTTTAAATTTATTTTTTTAATTTCTTTTTAATTTTAAATTTTAAATTTTAATTTGTTTATTTGTTTGGTTTAATTGTTGTTTGTATGTTGTTTATTTATTTGATATATTTCTTTTCTTTGTTGTATGGTGTTTAAAATAATCTTAAATTTTTAAATTTTTATAAATTTTTAAATTTTTAAAATTTTAAATTTTTTTAAATTATTATTTTTTAATTTTAAATTGTTTAATTGTTGTTTACTTGTTGTTTAATTTATTGGTCTGTTTATATTGTGTAATTTGTATTGACTAGTTACGTAATTTTAATTTTTTAAATTTTAATTTTGTAATTTTAAATTTTAAATTTATTTACTTTGTTTATATATTGTTTGTTAATTTTTTAATTATTATTATTATTATTTTTTAATTTTTAAAATTTTAATTTTTAATTTTAATGAGTTTGAATTTTAGTATTTATTTTGTTTTTAATTAATTTTTATTAACTAATTACGTAATTTGATTATTTTTTTTGTTGTTTAATTGTTGTTTGTATGTTGTTTATTTATTTGATATATTTCTTTTGTTTGTTGTATGGTGTTTAAAATAAAAAGACTAACACTAACGTGTACTTTGTGTATAACTTATATTAGCAACACCTGTTACTCATTAGCGACTATATATATAGTCTGATATACTACAAACGTCTACTACTAACGTCTAACACATAATAATAAATTATAACCAAATGCCTCAAAACAGCTTCTCACACAAATGATGTGAAGATTACAAATACCATCCCTTGCAACAATGATTCAACAAACTACAATTTAAATATTCATACCAATGTCAAAGAAATGAACCCAAATTTAACAATTGCCTTTCAAATAAGACAAAACAACATTTCTACAAATCAAGTAAGTATAGTTAATTATCAATGTTAGTACCACAACGTTAATTTGTTTTAATTTTAACTTCAAATTTTTAGATTGTTGAAAAATGTAGCGCTTTAATTAAACGCTACATGAAATGTTTTTTTCACAAATAATTAACATGTATTTTTTCTTTTATTCATCTCTCAATAAGAAAAAATAATTTTGGAATCATACTATAAATACTTATAGACCTCATGGGTAGATGGCACATTTACATTTATATAAATAAATAATTAGATATATACACCCTTTATATATATATATATATAAATATACACTAGCGTACCTGTCCCCGCGCGTTGCCGCGGGAATAGAAAAAAGTCCAACGAAATATATAAGAAGAGTTTAATCTATGCGTTACCAAATCCTATATTTTTAGACGAATGACCTTGTTTTCTAAAAGTGAATTATTTAAATGTAAACAATGCCTGCGCTTGGATCATAAATATCGGGACACGGGTTTACCTAGAATACCGTATGAAAACATTGTGTGTACATTAATCACTTCGTAGGGGACGTAGAGCGGTGCTCTCAGGAGCCACCCCCTTCCTGATTACGCTACCGCATATACGCCGCGTACGACCTATGGCTCCTTTAAACTAACAGGCAACATCATGCCATTTATCATCACCTTAACAATGATGCAGATTGCGTCATTCGCTTAAAGTGACACAAATGAACAGGATTTTTTTCCCTTAACAGGTAAAAAAATTATTTGACGTCTTTTAAACATCAGTGTGACTGAAGCAACCTGTTAGCGTTACTAATGGTCTATTATTAGATGCTCGATCTCAATTTCTGACTGGATCGTCTAATAATAGATGCTTATTGCATCATTCGCAAAGTGACGAAACTCTACAGTAGGCTTCTCATATTCAAACAAATATTTTTTCATCTTTCGCAAGGTGACGAAACTGTACAGAAGGATTTCCTCGCGTTACAAAGTTATTTTTAGAAAACCTGTTGTAGTTTTACCGCTGAATATAATAGTACCTCTTACTCGCTATGCAAGACGCTCGACTAACGGATGCCAAGTGCCAACATAGTCGCTCAAAAACTCTGGGCGCCAAACCGTGTATTGACGAAAATATACCCTACATGGCGCCGCCCATAAGAAACTTTAGTTTTCTTTTTCGAAGAAATATTCTCGGCAGTATTCTCATCAACTCCCTAAAGTTTCATGACACTCGGATGAACCGCATCCGAGTTTTTTTTTTATATACCGTGTATAGAGAAAAAAAAATACCTACCCCCAGGGGCGCCGCCCTTGCAATATTAAAAAATATTTTTTTTTGCAGAGCTCTACCATTGAGTGATCTAATCATCTCCCCAAAGTTTCATGGCACACGGATGAACGGTGTGAAACCGAAATGGACTTTTATTATTGTAAACCGTATATAGAGAAAAATCGCACCCTCCCGTGGCACCGCCTTTTAGAAATTAAAAAAAGGAATTTTTTACAGAACCCTTAACTGAATTTTTCTAATCAACTCCCCAAAGTTTGATGGCGATCAGATAAATAGTGTCAAACCAAAATCGACTTTTATTTTTAAATACCGTATATTGAGAAAAATTCCACCATTCCGTGGCGCCCCCCTTGCGTAATTAAAATATTTTTTTTACATAAACCTTCTCTGGAGTGTTCTAATCAACGCCCCGAAGTTTGATGGCGATCGGATGAACGCCGTGAAACTGCAATCGACGTTTATTCTAACATACCGTATATAGAGAAAATCGCACATTCCTGTGGCGCCGCCCGTGCAAAATTAAAAATGATTTTTTACGTAACCCTTCCCTGGAGTGTTCTAATCAAGTCCCTGAAGTTTGATGGCTATGGGATGAACGATGTCAAACCAAAATCGACTTTAATTTTTATATACCGTATATAGAGAAAAAACAAATCGCGCCCTGCCGGGCGCCACACCTGCGAATTTGAATTTTTGTTTCTGCAGAAACCTTCCCAGGAATATTCACAACAACTTCCCAAACAACACACACACAGACATATATATATATATATATATATATATATATATATATATATATATATATATATATATATATATATATATATATATATATATATATGTATGTATATATAATTGATAAATAAATCCTAAATTATAAAAGCCCATGAGCGTTTCTCTCTCTCCCTCTCTCTCTCTCTCTCTCTCTCTCTCTCTCTCTCTCTCTCTCTCTCTCTCTCTCTCTCTCTCTCTCTCAAACACACACTTTCTTTCTCAATCTGTCCGTTACATACATTATTGTTTTTACCAGAGATGTTTGTTTAGAATCGGAAACAGTTCCTGTATACGTTTCTACAGGGATCGCTGTACCTGCAAAGGAATTGATAGATTTATTCTAAGCGTTACCTTCAATTCAGTCAGAGTAAATAGATTTACACATCTAATAACAACCATTGATAACAAAAGTTATCATTTACAAGTCTGTGGTAAGTGGAATTTCGACAAAATAGTGTGCCTGTTTTTGCCACTAGTTATTGAGTTTTAAAGAGAAAACGTTTAAAGTTATAAATTGTATAGATTTTAATAAAAAGCTACTATGTAAATAGATTGTTAAACATATTTTTAAACACGTAGAAGTCGATTTTAAATCGAATGAATGGACTTTTTATTTTTTAAATTGTTTTAAGAAATCTTTCTCGACTTCACTTTAAGCTGTATTACTTTTAGTGAAAATAATTTATATAATTAGTTAACTTTCTTATTACTTACAGATCAATTTATAATTACACATTCAGGTATGAAAATGTTTATATTTATTTAAGTATTTTAAGTCTGATAGGGAAGAAAATTTAATGGCTTCTAACCTGTTAAATTAAGAGTTTTTAACACCGCGAACATGAGGCTGCGTGATTGTGGACAGCTACTTATCTAATAAAGAGAACTTTAAAATCAAAGAGGAGTTGAGCCCGTTTGCTGTTTTGCATACCTACTCGCTAGTTCCTGCAACGGAAGCTGTTCATCTGTGTTGCCTAGCATTAAATTATACTAAAACAGTCTGTGATGACGCTAGCTAGGTTAGAAATCAAGTAGATGGTAGAAACAGACTATAGCTTAGTTAAATAGACCAATGGAAACGCAGGAGCTGACCGGTCAGGTGGGGCGGTCAGCTGACCACTGGAGCGTGAGACAGATGAAATAGGTAGCGATAGAGAACGGCAAGAGAAATGTAGAATTAGGTAGAGAGTTAGAGGTACATAGTGTTAGGATTGGTCATAGAACTGTGTAGTTGGTAGTATTAGTAGACAGCATATAGTAATTGTTCGGTAGAAGTAGGAAGTTGATTTGTGTAAATAACGGATATTACATCCTGAATTGGACTTGTGTGTGGTGAATTCACACAACTATACAATATCGGATCTGCATCTCATCACCCCCACCCTCACACGCCCCATAGCGAGAAATGGATCATGATGCATTGGAAACTAGTGTTCTTAGATGGTTTTATTTAACTTACTTACATTGCCGTCATAGATCGAAACTGCCAAGTAAGATTTCGAGCATTTATAACTGAATTTGAAAATAAATTCAAGAAAGATGATATTACGTCCAACCGTCAACTATTTCGACTCATTCCCCGACATAGCTCTATTAAATTGTCGTTGTAAATTTAAAATTGTAATGATTTAATTTTAATTTTATTAGCTGGACCATATAAACAATTTTAAATAGTTAGTATATTTAATACAAATTTTTAAAATGAAATTTTTCTCCTTTTTTTTGGTTGGATGGGCTATAGAGATGGATATTATTATTGGTGCTACCGTTGGTGGAAGTGTTGTTATTGTTGGAATCATTTTAACATCTTTTTTAATAAAACAAGCAGGTAATTCTTTTTTATTCTAACAAATGGGAAATGTGTACTTTAAATACGAATACTTAATGATTCAAATATAAAAGTGTAAAATATTTCTGTGATATTAAATTGTATTAATCAAGTAATCAAAATACATCATAACGCAAAATTATATGATATATTGTTCAAATATTCAACAGTTTATATATTACATATAAGACCATCTGGTTCATATTATGTTATTATATTTGACCTGAGAAGAATGGTTGTCATAAGTTTAATTAACGTTGCTAATCAGTTTTGATCAGTTTCACTTATTACCACAGGAAAAAAATACGATACCACGTATATTCAACCAACAAACAGTGATAAATCAAGCTCAGATATAAACGGAAGTGAGGAAAATTCGTATATTGATGTTGTAGAGGAATCTCACCTTGACGAAAACCCGTATGACGAAATAGCTAATACCTCGAGTGAAGCTACTACATTCGCTAGTGAAGACAACATAAACACATATTTAGAGATTATCGACAATTATGATAATCCCACCAATATTTATGAACAGCCGACTGATCATGTTACTGAAAAAAACATTTACGACAAAACTTTTTATTTAGCTAGTGATTTAACCTCAACCACAATTGCTGTAGGTGAAACAGTGTTATAACTCTATTAAACTTTGTGGAATGTCGCAAAATTTTAAATAATGCAATCGTCTTAACAATTTAATTAGACTCACACAGAAACAATATTTATAACAACTAACTAGTGCTATTTCAGTGAAATCGTGCACTGATGAGATATATTAAGGAAACGGCAATTGTGTATTAATAGTGCTATTAAAAGCAGTACTGTCAAATATTTAGGTGCTTGTAGTAAAGGTGGTTTTAATCAACTAGTTAGAATTTACAATTTATAATATGTATATTATTGTGTAGAATTGGTTGGAAATTTTTGTGTCTATAATTCCAAATTGTTGATTTGACTTTTGAATGTGTTGTTTTTTTTTAAATTATAGCTTAGCTTTAAAACGATATAGTATAGTACTGAAGAGACTAATGTAAAACATTGAAATTAAAATGTATTTTTTTTTTATTTTCTTGTAGTAATTCAAACCCTATTTTTTAGTCTGGAATTTCGATTAGTAAAGTTTTTTTTTCAACATAGACCATGAGAGTGTTCAACTATTTTTAAAATATGAGGCATTACTTAAATAAAAATTATAAACAGATTCCTGGGCTAGGTAGGCCGACATTTTTTTAAAATCACGGTTGTTTGGGCGCGGGTTTCTTTTCATTATTATTCATACGTGTCAAGTTGCGCTATCTGAAAACCATAGTGTAAGATCATCAATCTCTACAATTGTGAGATAGAACACCATTTGCCAGGGTTGTGGCGGTTACAAACCGCAGTGGCTTGGGTACCGCCTTTATTTTTTTTTAAATCATTAATTGTGGTAGCCCACAGTCTTGGGATCCGGAGCACCAGAAGTAGCCCGTTGCTTCAGTTTGTCTATTGATTCAAGTAGTACCGCTGATCTTCTGCGTGTAGGCCTCTCAACAAACGGGTCAGAGGTACTAAGTTAGCTTCGGAGGGAACTCGGATTGACAAAAAAAAAAAAAACTAGCCAGATTCATTGACGAGACTGTAGCCTACTCAACAACTTCGGAAAATTGCTTTCAGTGGGGGAACTACCATGCCGCCAGACCCCGCAATGCAAGGCCGGATGGGAAATGGGATTGGGACGAAATTAGTGGCTCAAAAATTGTCGCCAAATGTATTAAATTATAAACAAGTTTTTTTTATAATTGTATTTGTCAAGGCCGAGTTGTATTTCTCCTACAATCGAACACACGATGTCGCCGGCAAAATTGTTAATTAAACTTGTTCAAGTGAAATAATCAAAATATACTAGTATATTTCTTGTAAAAGCAAAAAAGTAAAAGTTTATAAAAACGAAGTAACTAGTACTTTATTCTTTTTAATTATATGTAGGATTCAGGATAGTACAGGATAAACATTTATTTTAGTCAATTTCTATTAATAAATGACATCATTTAGGGGGCTGAGGGTCTGGCTTTTTAAAGACGTTAAAAAAGCCTGACGTATTTGTGGATGACCCCTAAATCGGAAGGTTATCCGACGCGTGAGCTGGACACATACAGTTGTACATGTGTGTGTCTTTTGTGCATTACTACATTATTAATCAGATCGGCATAAAAAGTTGGGAAGCTGAGTAGTACAGCCCAGCAAGTTTTCTGCCACATGCCTAACATTTGTTGGCTTATTGGAGTGGCGGCCCACCAGGGAAATGTGTGATTTAGTCCCCCGAGATAATCAGTGGCTATTTTTACCTCTTTGATATGCTTATTGTGTGTCCTGCACAGGAGGATAGGGTTACTACTTGAATCCACCGGCGGCAGTGTCATCCCGAGCGCATCACATATTAGCAGTCTGGCTCCTACAGTCATAAGAAAGTTCACACTATACTAGGGATAAGTCTCGCTATTACACTCGATGACTAGATCTAACCAGGGGGTTGTACTAATCACCCGTGCAATAATGTAACTGGTAGCTCCCAGGAGTCCCGCGACTCCCCTTACTCATGGGTCATCGCCGAATGGCGATCAGCGTAAAATGAAGCTTACAGCATGCCCTGGGGCATCTCATTGGTAGTATGGAATGGCTCTAATAATAATTTAATGAATAATTTTTTTATTACTCAGATGAAGTTAGTGCTAGAAAGAAACCGCCGCATAATAATTATGAGTCTGAACCTGCGCAGTGCGCAGTGTGTAAAAGGAATATCTCCACCTGGGCCATCTGTAGTTCGCTTAGTCATCAATTATGGTAGCTTACAATGGTCACTCCTATATTATTAAAAAATTGCCAGAATCATTTGCAGACGGGTACTAAAAAAATTTACAAAATAGCATGGTGATCGGAAGAATAGTGTTGCAATGCATAAAAAGGAAACAAACAAACCTGATTTAATTTAAATATAAATGTAACGTCAAAAGAAAAAATATTTACCTTTTCAATAACAATTCCCAACCGGCGAATACATTTAGGTATCGAATTTGATATTTATGTAATTTATTCCATGTTCATATCTGTGTGTTGTTGGATATTTAAATTATTATCTTTATTAATACACCCAGTGAGAGCTCACAGAATGATTCTACGACCCACAATTTACACATTATTTTGACACTGCAAAAACACTTCAACCGTCCAACGGAATCAATATACGCTGTTGACTAATTCAAAACAGGTTTGGAAAGACATGACATGTTGTGTAAGAGCTATTTATATAACCATACCTCATTTATTGGAAATTTGCTATCGATTAAGTGCTGACGATAACCAAGAAATCATGTTTAAATTTAAACGCAGGATTGTACGAATGAGCTTGCCAAAAAAAAGTAAATTGTGTGCCCCTTCAGTACAAAACCAATAAACAAGTTTCCTGTTTAAACACGCAACGATAAACATGTACACCAAAATATCAATCAATAAAAGATCGCGTAAACAGCTTTTCCATTAACAAGAATGTAATGGCTACAATTAACGTGCTACCAAAGTTCAATTTTAGACTCATTACATGCCAAGTGTTTTCTCGTTTTTAGTTTTTGCTAGACTACCCGTTATCCTTGGATAACTGTGGGTTTTGGGGATCATCCGTAAATGACGTCATGTTTGTTGTCCACTGAATGATATTTAAAAAAATATAAATATTCGTATGAACACCAGACTATGGCGTAGGCAGTAGGCGATATGTGGGGGGGGGGGGGGAGGTTGTAACCCCCTTTCGCCATGTAGCCCTCTGTAAAAAAATATGTATTGTCATAATACCACTGTAACTTATTTAAATTTATTTCTAAATCAGTGTATATGTATAATTGTATTTATGTGTTTAGAACAGCCATCTAAAAAACAGGACGCTATGTTCAATCTGAGTTTGTACCGCCCCTCACTTCACCAACAAAAACAACAAAATAATTTTCTTTGCACCTTGATAAACTAGAGTTAAAAACACTACAACAAAAGCGATTATTCTGCAGTAAATAACATACACTATTGCATGGGCTAAAAAAAAAAAACATGAGCTATATTATGAAGATAGGCAAACCTTCGAATTTCATGACTTATCGCTCCAATTTAAATATTCCAGTACTTTAAATAGTTTGAGCTTGAAAAAATGCCTTATTTTCCAAAATGTGACATTATAGCGTTGAAAATGGACACTATTAACTGCATGATTATACCTATTAAAGAGGAAGTAACGGCGTCAAATATTTAAAGTTTTAATTTCTGTCGATCTTTTACTACATACAAGTAGTATATTAGGTCACTTTTGGTTAGTATTTTTGGCGGAGCAGGAGGGTGAGAGGTACAATGACATATAGCAAAATACTCCCAGCCTGGCGCATCGCAGGGTGAGGTGGAGGGGGAGCAGGATGCGCAGAGGGACAACGACATATAGTAAAATACTACGCCAACTGGGGTTGGCGGAGCAGTGAAGGGTGAGTCACCTTTTGGTGACCTTGTGACGTAATCAGTGACCTTGTGGCGTAATCACCGACCTTGTGACGTAATCAGTGACCTTGTGACGTAATCATTGACCTAGTTACGTAATTTTAATGCGTTTTTTAAATTAGTTTGAATTTATTTTTAAAATTTTAATTAATTTTTATTGACTAGTTACGTAATTTGATTTTTTGTTTACTTTTTTAAATTGTTTAATTTGTTTGTTTACTTGTTGTTTAATTTAATTACTTTGTTTATATTGTGTAATTTTTATTGACGAGTTACGTAATTTGATTATTTGTTTACTTTTTGTTTAATTTGTTGGTTTGTTTATTTGATTGTATGTATGTTTAATAGTAATCGGAGAGGGGTGGGGGTGGTTGAGAGGGGTGGTGGATGAGAGGGGGAGTAATGACGGGGATGGAGGAGAGGGGGGCGCTAGCGTGGACAAAAAGTAGAAGGTTCTTTTATTTTGTTTACTTGTTGTTTAATTTAATTACTTTGTTTATATTTTGTAATTTTTATTGACGAGTTACGTAATTGGATTATTTGTTTACTTTTTAATTATTTTTAAATTTTTTTAAATTTTAATTATTTTAATTTGATTATTAGTTTGAATTTAATTTAATTAATTTGGTTTTGATTACTTTGTTTCATTTATTTATTTGATATATTTCTTTTCTTTGATGTATGGTATTTAAAATAAAAGACACTGTTTATTTGATTGTATGTATGTTTAATAGTAAACGGATAGGGGTGTTGGTGGATGAGAGGGGGAGTAATGATGGGGTTTGAGGGTAGGGGTGCGCTAGCGTGTACTTTGTGAATAACATCCATTAACCAGACATGTAACAGATGTTACGTATCGATTCACCAGCAAAGTTTTTTAATATTGATCCCACCCACGGGCCATCACAGCATGATGTCCCGCCTAATTAAATTTTGTTACGCATCGTCGATTTTATGTGTTGTTCACGGAAGCGAACACCGTAGGGTCCGGTGTTTAATGAGGTCCATTAAGCGCGTCTCCGCGTTAAGTGTGGTAACAGCTGTACCACTTTAATTGATTTTTCCCCGCTCGGTTACTAGAGTGAGAAGCCATCACGTAACAGCTGGTGCTGTAATTACGCCGAGTAAGGACATTGGTTGTAACTATTCGCTTATAGCGAGGGTCACCGAAAACAAAATATATATTTAAGGGTTGGAATTTTCTTTCAACCACCGTTAAATCAGGTTTTGAGACGAAACGAAGTCTCCGTAGGTTCGTGTTTTTTAACGGGCGACAGGGCGACTTGGTGCGTTGGTACGTGAGGTATGCGGGGTAGACATGTTTTTTACAAGTCTGGAAAAGTAATTAAGTTTTTTATGACCGTTCCGATTTTCTTTTGATCTGACCACCATTTGACCACCCTGAGCCAGATAAATTTAACAAATGTTCAGTACATAGTCGCTTATAGTAACATGGGTGAGGGGTGTAAGCAGGCGGGTGACGGTGTGAACAGGTGGGTGAAGGGGGAAATATTAACAAATGTTCAATACATACTCGCTTATAGTAACATGGGTGAGGGGTGTAAGCAGACGGGTGACGGTGTGAACAGGTGGGTGAAGGGTGAAAGGTGGGTGAAGGTGGAGAAGGTGGGTGAAGGGGGAACACGAGTAGGAGTAAAGGATATATAGTAAAAGACTCTACCACCTGAGTGAGGTGGGTGAGGAGGTGGATTTTAATTTTAATTTTTTATTTTATTTTTTCATCATCTGTTAACTTTAAGGTTCTATAACTCTATATATTTAAATACATTTTTTGATTCAAACGAGTTTACTTTTCCTAATGTAAGTACAGGTAAAGAGGGATTTCCTATAGATCTGTAATGAAGTAGGCCTTCTTGACTATGACTGATTGTCCAGGTGTTGACATGATACACTTTTTTGAGATACACACACACACACACACACACACACGCGCGCGCGCGCGCGAAATTCATACTAGGTCGGTAAAGGCGGAGAGAACTTATAGGTATACATTATCATGGCGACAACAAAAGCGACCCTTATTTTATTTACATGAAAGCGTGTTTTCCAAAAAGTGTCACCAGGCCGTTGTCAGTTTCGCAGCGGGGTTTATATTTTAAGTGCACCCCGTGCACGCTTTTTTACATTTTAAAAGTTGTGTCACGTGTCGTCCCCACATGTCTTCCCTAATAGAGAAACGAGAAGAAAGACAACTGTTCTAAAATTAGAACAGACTTGTTTACAGCCACGAGTATCGTCCCTTGTGAAAAAAGTTGCGCGTCAGAATCCTTAACTAAACAGTCAATTTCTTTAACAAGTTAAAAATAATTTAGGAAGACAAAGGTTAACAACATTAGACGCCACCATTTTTGTTTCATGTGAGGACAAGGCACAATACACTTTTGTAGTTAATGTCTCAAGTAGAGGGGTGGGATATTTTTTTTCTTTGTAAGAGTCTTGTAAACAATGGGTAGAGGAGGCGATTACTAAGTAAGAGGGGAGAGAACATGACTTGCATCGCGATATTTGAAAACATGGCGATGTTTAACCTCAAGCAGATTACCTTCCCATGTTCGCTTTAGTATTACAGTTTTCATCAAACTTCTTTTTGACTTGAACTTCTTTAATTTTTAAGAAAGTTTACTTATACATAAGACATTACGTCTAATTACAATTTTTTTATTTTTACTACTCAATGTATTTTCTTTTTCTATATCTTACATTGTCATCTTAATTTTTGATCACCTTAGTAAAAATTTGCTTAAGATTATAAACTTCAAGTTTTAAAAAACAACAACGTTATAGTACGTCGTGTCAAATGACACACCGTTTAAAATGTCTACATTTAAAGTTCACCAATATAATGACGTAAAAACTAAATATGATATGACGTTAGCATACATATCATACAATCTAATCACTCTAAAGTACAAATCAATAATTTTTATTGATTAAGGGGCTGGGTGAGTTATTTTTATCACTATTCGCCTTTCCCCTTCCCTTTGTCCACAACCCCTTTCTCCTTCTCCCATCCCTAACCTCAATACCAACCGATAGATACACAGACCGTACCACTACCCATTCTATTCCATTTAAGAGACAAATGATGTATGACAATCTTACATTTATCTACACTCAACTAATATCACAACCCCTAGACACTACTCCAACAGACTGGTCTATGTAACTTGTAGACACTACTCCTCGTTGAATATCTCTTGCACCCTAGCCACCTATGTCTGCCGCCCTCGCCCCCGTCCCTAAACACACGCTAGATAAACAGACCGTACCTCTACCCACACTATTACTTGGACAGACAAAAGACAAAGTAACAGACAAACTTGTATCTGTATTCAACTAATGTTACAAGTGACAACGTTCCCATCCAACTCTGAAACATCCATGGCCCAATTTCGAAACCAGCCTCGTTGAAAACTCCCCTGACCCTAGTTTAACTTTGCCTCATCGATTCCAAAACAGTCCTGTACCAAACACCCATGCACCAACTTTGAAACCTGTCTTGTTGAAAACAAAGACCGTCCCACTCTAGTGTAAACTCTAACCCAACCAACTCCGAAACATGGATTTGAAACACGCCTCGGTGAAACCCAAACTCCCCCGACGCTAGTTTAAACTCTTCCCTCATCACTTCAAAAACATCCCTGTACCAACTTTGAAACACGCCTCGGTGAAACCCAAACTCCCCCGACGCTAGTTTAAACTCTACACCAATCGATTC